GCTAAACCCTTATAACTCATCTTGCCCATCCTTCCTTCATAGTTAATTAATCTTTATTTAATTATGGAAATCAGGCATAATCAAGCTTAAGCTAAATTAAATTGGGGCATATTATAAGCTAAAGATTAAATGATAATGTTATTAATCCAGGGGTTTAGTTTAATCCTTATTTAACCTAGGCGCCATAGGCAATAAAAGCATGAATCCATGAAATGTATTGTAAATAAAACATTTATATAGTAAAAGCAATGATTTGTACTTTATTAATTAATGCAATTAAGATAATTTGCTATATATAACTATTAAAATAACCTTTATTTATTAATTACGTACTTTAATGAAACAACCAACCTTTAACCCCTTAATAATAACCCAAGCCTTTTTATATACCTACTTTTTATAAGCACTTAGTATAATTAAATGGGCGCATACTTTTAATTAATTTAATTGATTAATAAATTTAAACTTAGCGGCTTTAAGTTTAATTTAACTTCTTTTTCTTATATACTTTTTAAAGGCATGTATTAACTACTTAATTAAAGATTATTAGTATGGTTATGAATATATTATAAGGAAATAGTAGTATTAAGTATAATAGGCAATATGGGTGATAGGCACTATGGGCAATTAGCATTAAAGCACCGGCAGGCAAGGGTTATATGCGGCAATACATAACCACCCTTAGATAGTTTATAGCCAGAGGGAGGTTTTGCAGCTTACGGCTGCAACCCTCCTTCCTTCTATATAGCCAATTTGAATACAACCAGTTTGCTATCAACCAACATACATTAACCCAGCCAACAGCCTTACTATTTATCCTTTTCTTACCATACTCTTATATTACTTTGTAATAATAAATTAAGAATTTTTATAATACTAAGTTTACTATAAATATTAAAAGCTATATTTACTTATTATTTAATATTTATTTTCCTTAAAAACTTTATAGCTATCTTAATAGCTTTAATTTACTTTTATATTAAAAGAATTAAAGCTAAGTCTTTCATAAGATATAAATAAGCCTTAAAGATAAGCAATATAAATATAATACCTTAAAAGCTATAAGTATTATTAATGGCCTTTATTATTATTTAAAGAATAGCCTTTTTTATATAAGTGGTAGTTAACTTAGCATATAAGATATTAAATGCTTATTAAAGAGGAGCGTAATAATGTTTAACTTTATTAATAAATTAATAAGCTTTTATTAAAACTTATTTATAAGCAATTCTTATTACTTATATTATCCCTTAAAACTTAATAAATATAAAGTTTATACTGGTATTATAAAGGATTTAGTTAAGGGGGCTAAGATAAATATTAATTTAATACTTATAAAGTGCTTTTTATATATCTTTAATTAAAAGTGATTTAAGAAATTAAGCTGCTTAAAATATTATTGTTAAATTAATAATATAAAGAATAAGCTTGTTTTTAAAAAGATATATAATATTAATAATAATCTTATAATTAAAGTTATAATTATCTTTTAAAGTAAACTTAAATTTTTATAAAGTAAAATTATAAAGCTAATAATAATGGCAAAACTTTATAATAATTTTTAAAGCTTTTACCTTTATATTATATTTAACGTTTTTTAATAAGTAATTAAAACGTTTAATTAATAAATATTTAAAATATTGGTATAATTAATGTAATTCCTTTTTTATAAAAAATATAATAAGGGTATATGGAAAGTATTATAAATATCCTTACTTTTAAGTAATTAGAAATGTCTTTTTAAAGTTATTTAATTATTATTAAACTAGTTTATTTATTATATTTTATAGATAAATATATAACTTGTTTATATTGCTTATATAAAGTAAGAAAGGGGTGTATTTTTTAATAATATAAAAGGTAATTAAACTAATTATGGCCTTTATTATTATTATTCTTAAAAATAAAGCTTATAATTCCTTGCTAAATTTAATAAGCGCTTTTCTTATTTATAAAGTATTAAGTTAAATAAAAGGGTTTTTATATTAAAGAGCAAAGTATTATTTATATCTTATTATAAAGAAGATTGCAGCCCTTATATTAAGAATAATGCTTTAAAACTAGGTATGGGTATATTTTTTAATTAAGGTAAATTAAGAAGTAAAAGCAAAAGTAGCTATTATATCTTCTTTATCTTTATTAATATTATTCTCCTTAATAATTATATTTTTTAAAAAGAAATTATAAAGAAAGATATTGTTTATAATAATTTAATAATATGCTATATTATTCTTATAATTATTTTCTTCTTTATTAAAGGTAGTTTTTATATTAAGTTCTTTATACTTTATAAGGAATGCAATATAATTAATATTAATAACCTTATAATTAATATACTTTACCTATATAAAATATTAATTATAACATTATTAACGTTTTATTAGCAAGTAATTTAAAAACTAACAACTAATCTTATTATAAATATAATACTTTTTATCTCTTAAAGTATTTCATTAACTATTATAATGAAAGTTATATTAAGAATAAAAGCCATTATTATTAAAGTTACCCTAATTAAAGTTACCCCGGTTAAAGTTGCCATAATTAAAGCCTCCCCAGCTGTATTTACTATGGTTTAACAGCCTATTATCTTAATACTAGCAATTAATATAATATGCTTTATTTCCCTTGCCATTAACACTTTAATTATTTTTATTATAATATTAATTAGCATTATGCTAAAAATTAAGTTTAAAAAAAAATCTTAATCTTAAAAATAATACTTTATATAAATACTTAAAATTAAAAAGTATATATTATAATTTTAATATACCTATATAAGCGTAAATAACTATTATTTATAAGAAATTATCCCCTTAATAAAGTACATTAAATGCTTATTAATATAATTATAGTTTATTAAATATTATAATAAGAACCTTTTAAAGGTGCTTACTAACATTCTTTAAGTTAACACATATATCATTAAATATAATTAAGGTTTAATTATAAAAATATTATTAATAATTAACTTTTATATTAAAGTAAGCTTTAAGCTTTATATATATATTATAAATAAAGAACCTTATATTAATATAATAAATATAATAAATCTTAGCATAATTTTTAAAAATTAAGGGAAATATTATATAAAATTATTTAAGTTTAATATTTACTATTTAATAAATATTAAGGAAGATCCTTATCTTATTATTTAGCAAATTATATAATTTACCGCCTTAATTCTTATTTCTATTTTATATTTTATTAAATTATACATTATTATTAATATTAAAAAGATTATTTACTATCTTTTAAGGAAGTAAGTCTTGATATAAATTGTATGATTATGGAGATTTTAATGCTATAATAGGTAGTAATGCTAAGTATAGCGTTTTTATTAACTTCTTAAGGAAAATGCTTATAAATTATTTCTTAAATTATAAAGTTTTTAAGTATTTTAATAAACTTAGTTTTTATTAAAATAATATTTCTTAATATCTTAAGGGAATTCTTATATTTAATTAATTAAAAGTTTCCTTTTTATAAGATAATAATTATGGTATTTATTATAGGAGAGTTGGTTAAATAAAGTTTTATCTTAATTTTATAAATAATTAAAAATAAAGAGGTTATAATTTTTAAGATTCTTTATTATCTTTAATAAAAAAAATTACTTACTTTAAGTTTTAATAAAAAGAAGCCATAAATAATAAAATTATATTAAAAACTAAGATTTTTTAAATTTCTTAAATAATAAGTATTTCTTAAGTACTTACTATCTTTAGCTTTTAAAATTAAAGCTATTAAGTATAAAACTTAAAAAGTTTATATATATTAGCCGCCTTATATAATTCCTTTTCCCATTATAAAGAATATTTATTATATATAAATAATACTTTTAAGTTAATATATTGCTTATTAGCGCTTTTTTTAATATTAATTCCTCTTTCTTAAAGAAATTTCTTAAAATTTTAAATAATAATTAACTTCTTAAATATTATTATATTTTAGGAAGCAAAGTCTTTTATAAAGCATTAAAGTAAATTATTATTTATATTTTAATATCTTATTATTTCTTTTATAAACTTAAGAATAGTAGTGTTTACTTAATTAATTATGCTATTTACTTTTATTATTAGTTTATTTTAATAGCTAAGATTAACTTATTAACTTTAAAACCTTTTGCTAAGATTAAAGAGTAATTAAAGTTCTTATATAAAAGCATTATTAATATTTAAGGGTATTTTCTTAGTATTGCTATTAAATTTAGCTATCTTGCTAAGCTATTAAAATATTTAAGTAATTTATATATAGGGGAAAAAGAAAGAGGGTAATTAAGAGAATATAATAAGGTTGTTTTAAAGTATAAAAAGAAAGTGTTAATTATGCAATAAAAGAGTGTTTATTAAAAAGTGTTTATTAACTTAAGTGAATATAAATTATTATTTATATTAAAGTAAAGTAATTATAAGCATTCTTAGCGTTAATTACGTAATGAAATGCATTATATAGTTAATAAATTCAAGGCATTACCAAGGACTTATTAATTAATAAATTGAATTTTTACAATAAAAAGATTAAGGCATTATTAATTTCTTTCTATTAGTTTTAATTATAATATAGCTATTAGCACTTAGTTAAGTAGGGTTTTATTATTAATAATTACCTATCTTTATGATATTAATATTGATTATTTGGCATAAATATCGCGATTTAATTATAGTAGTTCTTATTATTAATGATTATTGCTTAATTAATGGCGATATAGATTTATTGCTTGCTTACCTTGCTATTTGTAATTATCCGTAGGTAATTATTGATTAGTGTTGGCTGGGTTAATGTATGTTGGTTGATAGCAGACTGGTTGTATTTAAATTGGCTATATAAAAGGAAGGAGGGTTGCGGCCGTAGGCTGCAGAACCTCCCTTTGGCTATAAACTATTTGGGGGTGGTTACGTGCTGCTGCACGTGACCCTTGCCTGCCGGTGCTCTAGTGCTAATTGCCCATAGTGCCTATTGCTTATATTGCCTATCGTGCCCAGTGCTGCTGTCCCCCTATGGTACGTCCATAACCACATTAAAAATAATATAAGTAAAATATATAAATATTAAATAATGTTTATATAGTGGTCTTAATATAAATTATAGCAAAACATTTAAACTGTATTTTAGCTATTATATATTACATTCCTTATTATCATTAAACGATAATACTTGTAATAAGGGGTGTATTAGAAGGTGCGAGGGTTATATGCCCATACGTTAGCGCTAGCCTACAAATAGGCTCCTTCTGAGCGTTCGATAGCGGGAGATTTCTCTCCTCACAACACAACAATCAACTATCGTTTGCTTCATCAAGCACTACCTCAACCGCAACGTTTGCGCCGACTTATGGGCCATTCATCGTGACCGGGAACCGCAACAAGCTCTCCTTCAGCAAGCCACGAGTCTTGGACATTCCGTCAGCCGCCGGCGGCCGACTGACCTGACGCCAGAACAGGCTGCAGAGCTCAAGAAGCACCCAAGGTACCAGCGCTTGGACAAAGAGTGGAAAGCGACGCCTCCGAAATCAGAACGGAGAAAAGAGCTCGGCAAAAAACGCAAGGCCCTTTGGACAAGGATGCGAAAGTCGAAGCTTTCCAAGATACGAGAGGAGTGGAGCAAGACACAAGGAGTCGAAGATGTCGAGCGGCAGATCGCTGGGGAGGATATTACCAAGGCCTCCGAGCACACGGCTCCTGTGCGGTCTATGGGAACAGTCCAGCAAAGGATGTTTAACGCGATCACATCTCCTCTAATCAATGATATCGAGGCGCAGCTCCAGCGAAGAACCGAAGCCATCAAGGCGCTCGTTGCGTATTGCGACGAGGAAGATCCCTTTGTGCCGATGCTCGTCCGAGTCGCGAAGCCTGCTTTGAAGTCGACCTCGAAGAAGGCTCCTGAGGCTCGGATGCAAGAGATCAAAGAAGCGACGCTTGTCGCATTTGGCAAGGTGCTAAAGTGCTTTCTCTGTGTTGCCAAGGCGGAGAGTCTTGGGCAGTCTCATCCCAGATTCGACGATCTCTGTCGCCAGTTTTCTCGCTCGGATCATCTGCGCAAGCATTTCATCGACATCCACTTGGATCGCCACAGCGAGGATGACAGTTTCGTTTGCCCGATCTGCAAGGTGACCCTGATTCACAAGAAACATCTCCAGAATCACACTGAAAAAGTACACGGCATCAACACCAGCTGCATCAAAAGGGAGCGTTAGAGGCAGTAGGCCGCTTGGCCAGATTCGAGGCATCGATGGTATATACGTCTCACTGCTTGAACGGTCATGTGCGTGGGTCGTCACAAATTTACTGTACCATTTCAATACACGCGGCCACTTATCCCTCCTCCGCACTGAACTGTGATAGCTCATACTCCTGCTGATTGTGAAATACGTGGTTGTAGAGTCTCTGTTGACGCCCACTTCTTTGTCCTCCGCCCTAGTTCCGAGGGAGATATCCTGCTAGCACTCATTTTGCTGCCTGCGAGAGAAGTGGGCTCAGGCATGAGCATGAGTGCGACGATCTTGGACAGTTCGTCATCAGATGCGTCAGTACAACTGTCAAGTGTAGCACGAATCGTCACCACTTCCTCATGCCAAGCCTTCACTCGATCCAATCGACATTGTCCTAGACTTCGTGCATGCTTCGGCGTCCCCGGAAGGCTAGTGAGTCTCAAAGCGTACAACATCACCACTCCAAGAGACCACACATCACTATACGCACCATCACTATGTTGCAAGGTTTCGGGGGCCGCATAACAAACTGGAGGGAGTCCGGTGTCGGGGCCCCCGGATCGCCTCATCGCACAGTCGAAGTCCGTAAGAACAGCCCCAGCTCTGTCGCCTGGTCTGTAGATAATGCTCCATGGCGTGACTGAGTTGTGTATAATACCATGGGATGCTAGATAGCCAAGAGCTTGTGAGCAGTCCGCAAGGATGATACGTGCGTCGTCCGGTCCACCTGTGTAGTGATCGTCCTTGCAAGCTGTGGCAAGGTTACTTGTACCAGGCCACTGGAGATAGAGTGACAGGCAGCGGAGGTCAGCCCCGAAGCATGAGACTAGGTTAGGCTTTGAACAAGATCAGCCAGCGATCCATCCAGGAGACCTTTGATGCAGACTGACGTGGCGGAGGTTCACCATCATGTCGTATCGCTTCCACCAGCTGTTGGCTGTGTGGACTGCGGCATACAGCTCACGCTTGGGCAAGTCTCGCCATGCTTTCTCCCAAAGCTTGGGCATCAAGACCGCGACAGTGGGGCTGGATTCCCCATTACGTAGGACTGCAGTAAACATATCCGTATGCGTCCTACTATATACCCAGCGTCCCAGCCGCTTTAGGGTATATTCAGTCTCTTGCGTGTCCGTGTTCTTGATCACGATCCTCTGTCCAGCCTTCGTCTGTGCCAGCTGGTGAGGCTGCAGCGATTTCGCGATGGTTGCCTGTGGGTTAGGTGGCACGGGAGGCTCGGCGCTCGCGGAAGAAACACCGTGACTTTGTGCCATTGTTGATAAGATTGCAGCGCCAGACGAAGCTTCTGACCTCTTGGAGGGCGAGGGAAGCATCTTCGTGCCGGGCCTCTTTGCGGTTGACTGGCCAACTAACTCCTCGATGGATAGGCTGTAGTGACGGGGCCTCACCAGCATCTCCACAGTCTGAGCAGGAGCGCCGACGAGTGACACGAACCAGAGAGCGGGAGAGAGAAGCTTGAGTTCCTCGGGAGGGAGGCTTTCTGCACCAGCGATATCGTCCGCCTGTTGTACTTGGACAACGCTGCGCCCAGTGTTGAAAAGTAGGACATCGTCGGATGAAGGATCAAAATAGACCTCACAGGCAACCTGCCCGGACGCGAAGGAGCATTTGATTTCCAAATGATCCTGGGTTGCCGCGAGGAGTCCCACACGAACGTGCTGTCCCAGTATTGTCTGTGTGATAGCGTCCAGTTCGGTGTCAACAGGGTCAGAAGCCGAATTGCAGACTGTCAGATGACTGTTGTCCTGCCCCGATTGCTTCAGAAGGACTCTGACACGGTGGAGGGGTCCCGTATATGACTGGTCAATCGGAAGTGCCTGAGCCATTTCTTGCACCCGTCGTTGGTGGGCCCACTGTGCCTCTAGGTACGGGTCCAGCCGATCAACGTTACTTTCCCTGTCGGTGGTGGGACTGGAATTACCAGTCGCATCAGGCAATAGGAATGAGACATGTTTAAAATCTTTCCTATTCTGAGCCATGATTGATGCGTATCGAAAGACTTGAGGACTCAAGAGAGAAAGAAAGCGAGAATGCCTTGTGGTGCGGATGGGAGGCCACTGGAGGTAATTGTACTCCGTCTGAAGCACCGCGTCAAATCAATACACAGGCCTGCATGTGTGACCTGTGCACGATAAACTGGGTGGACCTGGGCTGGAGCCCCGTGTAACAATCGGAATCCACCAGACGCGCGCATAAATGGAGGCTAGCCTGCACCCAATCAGGGGAGTACAGCCCGGAATGACGGGGGTGGGGCTGCCTAGCTCCGTGGGCTCTTAGTAGGTAACCACGGACATTCAGAGCTCCACCTTTTCCAGACGTTCAGCAACCTCCATCGTCATGCTGGACTCGGTACATGAGCCACTGCGATCTTCCCAGACCAGCCCAAGATGACTGGAGAATTCGATCTCTTCCCGTCCCCACCAGAGGACTACTTTCTCCGACATCATGACCGGCGATGGCCTGCGTGGAGGTTTGGAATGCGACAAGACGAGCTGTTCACCACCCTTGCCAAACGCTGCAACTCCATATCGCTTCCGGTTCTCGACGTCGACGCGTTCAATCGTGATGTCTGTGAACTCAGTGCTACTGCGCAAGACCGGGACGAATTCCTCCATCTACTCGAGGAGCGACGCGATCTGAGGCAAAAGGAGCTCCTCGAGCTCTGGCAACTATCATTCACCCAGCTGGCAGCGTCCCCGGCCTTGCTCGCAAGCTCCGGTACGCAATGGAAGGATGCAGTCCAGATTTACCATTCCCACTCGCTCGACTCCTATGTTCGATTCTTTGCCAGCTTCCTTCCAGTGCAAGCCCTTTCACCGAGCTTGCCCGGGGCTGCTGTTGACACGACACGCCCCACGCCTCCCTCCACCGACCGTCTGACATCAACGCCCATAGACTCGCGACCCGAGACTGAGCCATCCGACCACGGATCACCCGAGGCTATGCAGGATACACTGCAGGAGCCAAAAGCACCGCCACACCGCAACCGACGGACTACAAAACGGACACGTCAGGACAGAATACTTCGGCGCAGTGCTCGAATCCAAGAGCGCTGTGTGATGTTAGGCGATGTCAGTGCTCAGCGAACCTCGCAGGCGACCCCAAGAAAAGCAGTCTCCAGACTTGGGACAGTACGGAAGGGCCGAAAAGTCCGCCCAAGGTGACTGTGCCACTGCTGCAGAGGTTGGAATATTGTCGCGCCGTACGGCATTCAGAGCATGCTCTCGGGACTGCGCTCGGGGCACTTGGGTAGCCTGCGATGCACACGCTGCCTTGGCGTCGCTGCCACGAAGCCGCCTTGGTAACCCCAGTGCAGATGACCTGCTGGCTGCAGCTTCGTCATCAATTAGTATGCCTGGGGAGGCAAAACGCGCACCGAGAATGGTGTCTGGCGACGAATGGTTGCCTGATCACAAATGAGGGTGGACCTGGCATCGACACAGCTATAGCGAGACGTCACTCCGAAGCAAAAGGGGTGGCAAAGCAATCATGGCTTAGCCTAGGCAATCGCTGAATACTCTTGTTATTGTCAAGTGTAAAAATGCGCAGCCAGGTAATACTCCTCCTCCAAGGATGGACCCCAAAGCCGTGACTCCTCGTCAGCTGCAGGGAGAGAGTTACTCTCCAAACGGCTGGTGATGGTTGTGAGAAGGGGGCTGGTGTGTTGGCAGCGCTTGAGATTGATTCGGTATTCATTCCTTGCAGGCGAGCTCTTGTAGGATACCGGTACTGAAAGCCTCTCGACGTCTTGTGGCCCTGTAAAATATAATGCGGCTGAAGTCTCGTCTTTACATTTAACCACTTTCCCCATATCAGAAACCACAACATGATCACCACGCGTGATAGGATCACTGATGTTGATTGTGATGGAAGTTCCGTGCAGGTGAATCTTGTTCTTCGTGGGGTAAAAGTCGTGAGGTTGCAAATATTTGAAAATTTGGCGGTGGCCTGGGTTCAGTTCGAGATGGAGACTTCTCGACCAATCCATAGAGAGTAAAATCAAGTAGACATCACCCTCGTGGCCTTTGTTAAAGTCGTACAAGCTATGCCCGACCAGTATAGGGCACGCTTTACCACAATGCGCCTCAAGCCATGCAAAATCCTTGAACACCATCGCCCACAGAGAGACAGGTCTCGGTTGTCCTTCCATGTTGGACTAGATGCTGAAATAGATAATAATGTCGCAGTAGGTATAAGAGGTATCCCTGAATGGGAAAGCGCTGCTTTATCTGCTTTGCACCAGGCTGGGCTATCATGTCTAGTCTTCCAGCAGAGGCCAGTCCTCTGGCACTCCGATTCGATGGCTCCCTCTACTTAGGTACCCAGCTTCTTTGCTGTGAGCCTGTGTGGGCACCGTCCCGCCTCCCCCCTTGCCAACACCCTCCTCCATGATCCTTGTGCACACCAACGCCCATGTAACCTCCCATGTAACACTGAGCTCTCAAGTGACAAGAAGCGACTTTCCTCCCATAGCAACCGGAGTGGCCGCTCGTTATCTGTCCAGTTGGTTGAAAAAGAAGACGTGAGCAACTGCTCGCTGAGCTGCGAGAACATCCTGGATTTATACTGAGAAGTGGAAAAAGACTTCGCCCCCCTCCCTTTCGTTACAAATCGGACTCTGGTATAAAGGAACTCCCATTTCCTTCTCATCGTGGTCTGGCTGACTTCAATCCTCAATCCTGTCTTCCCTGCAAAGCGGATTATTGCAAATCATCGTCTACATCTTGACCACCACCCAATTGAAATTCCCACTTCGGCTTGAGTGTTCCCCAGAAGGATTGCGGACAAGCACACGTCACCTGCCCGACCACGGTCAACGTTCTCGTGCTCACCATCCCGCTCGTGCCTGTGCGGGCGAACATCAACACGCGCTGAGCCTCGGACCGTCTCCGACATCATGACGACGACCAACTGGATGAGCAAGTTGGTGAGGGTGAAGGAGGACGACCCCAATACCAGCATCTTCGGAAGGCACCACAAGTCCGCCTTCACATACATGGACACGGAGTTCCAGACGGTCGCGCAGATGGCCACCTACGTGGTGGCGGAGACAATCGGCAACAAGTCTGTGGTGAAGGAGGTGGTGGCGAATCCGGACATTGTGGCGGAGAAGTACTCCGACATGGGGCTTATGATGATGCGGAACCACCACTCCGATGACTCGGACAGCGTCGTGTTCGCCGTCATGCTGGCCTGTGTGGCCAAGTTCCACAGCAAGAGGTCGCTATTCGACGGCTTGGTGGCCACCGGCGACCACGTGATCATGGACGACACCACCAACGACTGCTTCTGGTCGATCAAGCATGACGACACCGACCTGTCGGACGCCGAGAACTGGGGCGAGAACATAATGGGCAGAATCCTCATGGTGGTCAGATTCATCTTCGCCGGCAGTGACGCTCCCGTCCCGGGATCGGAGATGGACAGCAACATCGTCACCCGATTGTCCATGGAGAGCGCCAAGGTGTTCCAGATCACATGCAAGTCCGACTGGGAGGGGTTCGTCGAGGAGTTTGAGGAAGAGATCAGAACCAAGGGGCAGGCGACCTAGATGGACACGCTACGTGGCGATCACAACCGACACGAGCAACCGACGTCTGAACCACGACCACGACCGTCACCACCACTGCTGTTCCACGGAGTGGGTGGTCTTCGTGGGCGAATTTGGAGACCAGCGAGACCGACATGGTGTGGACGTGCGGATACACGTCGAAGACCATGGAGAACGTGCCGAACTGGGGCGGGAACGAGACGGGGAAGTGCCTGATGGTGGTCAGGGAGGTGTCGTCAAGCACTGCACGGTGGTGCCGCAGACCGGCAACCAGCGCCTGAGCTGCTTCAATGGGTGCGTGTAGCCGATGACGTCCATAAGTGGTATGGGGAAGCAACAGAGACCAAGAGTGATTTATTAAGGGAGCGCTTCCGGTGGCAAAGGCAAGGCAGTCTGTACCGTCTCACCAGAGCGGAACCACGCAGGACGGTTCTATGCAGCGTCAGGCCATGGAATCCAGTCAACGCCATGCTCAACTACCATCACATTAAAGTAGAGCTTCGTCTATGGACATACAAACAAGAAGATTGACCGACAATCATGCTGGTTCAAATGAAGGCTCTTGCTCGGATCACCGAGCCAAACGTGATTTCAGGTGCATTTATCTTCGAGTCCCTAGGGAAGCATATCGGCTGGGAAGGAGGGGTACTGGCAGTCTCGTTCTGTCTATGAAGCCCTGGCTCGCGACTGCGCCTATTCTCCTCCTAGATTTCATTACCGAACAAGTCCCAATAGCCCTGCTCAATAGGTCTTTCTTTCACAGGCTTCAGCTGCTTATCCTTTCTCATTACCTTTTTGTAGTGTTCCATATTAATTGAATTTTTCCTGCGCCACTTCGTGATTGCCGCAAAATCAACACACTGTCTCTCAACGCTCATATCGGGGAATGGATATAGCTGTGTTTCTGTCCAATGCATTGTAGCTATTTCTGGAACGTTAAATCATTTAGTATTCCAGAAAGAAATGGTAGATGAGTAAGCCGCGAAAGTACTGACGCAGGTTCCCAGAGCATTGCAATGCTTGTAAGAGAATATCAATACAGTGGTTTGTATGTATCTCATGCATGGTTATATTTTCAGGGTCCGCATTCGCAATCTTCGTATCATAATAATCACGATATGCAAGTTTTCGTAATTGGTTGAGGCAATGTATCTGATGGAATACATCTAGGATGCCTGCATACGCATCATTGCCTAACCTCCAGGTTGAGTCCTCGAGTTTGGCTGCTGTAGCAGGGTCTTTACCCATAGCTTTTATCTCAGCAGAGGTGATAGGGATCACGTTACTAGCTTCCCATTCATCCCATATAGCCTCATCAATTGGATTAGGCAATTGTCTGGCTGGACCGCTGTCTATGGAAGGCCAAATGGTGCCATTGATAGTTGTCTAATATGGTTCTAGAGGGATGCGCTGGTACAGAGGTGAGTAGCCATAGGTTTGGAGGTAGGCGGCACTTGAATTGAGAGGTTGCAAATAGCCGCTGATCGCGACGGCGAGGACAAAAATATGCAGAAAAACGACAATAACAAGGAATTGAGTAATAATATGTAAGACATGTGACCTGTTGGTATTAGGCATATCCTTCTCAAGGAAAGCAATGCTTTGACTTTCATCTGAGGTCCGCAGTAAAGCCATTATTAGTGCTTTGTAGTTGCCCCTCCGTGCCCCTCTGTGCACCTCCCAATTACTGCACCCCCAGTGGGCTGTTACACCTACATTATAAAATCCCTTTAATACTCAAAGCCCAAATCTTTTCTTTAACCTTTTTTCTAATATATATAATCTAAGTTAAAGGGTTTTAAAAGCTTTTTACTATTACTGATAATTAATTTTCTGTTGGTTTGGCTTCCGTACGGTTGGTGATAGATAAATAAAGTATGTAATTAATTCGGCTATGGTGTGGAGGGTAGGTTGCAGCGAAGCTGCAGCCTTCCCCCGTCTGGCTATAGGCTAGCTATGGTGGTCCGTGCGCGGGGCACATAACCGCCAGCTGGCAGCCGGCTGGCACCGGCTAGCAGCTGCTATTAATAAGACTAGTCTAAACCTTACACCTCCAAATCTATGCATTACTTATAGCGCACCCACTACATGAGCACGCTGCACATAATGCCCATACGTACTATTCCCACACTAGCAGTCTTTTATATATACGTATACACACACTCCAAAATCATATTTTCCTCCGTAAACCATTTACTTCAAGCCAATCAAACCGCTTAGTTAACGTGAATATCTTATCCTTTAAGGGGTTATAGGGATTTAAGTGCCTTATGGCCATTGCTTTAATGAGTTAAGTATAAATATTTAAGTGCAAGTGCGCCTAAACGCTTTAAGTGCTCAAATTACCCAAATCGCTTAATTAAATCATTTAATTACCAACACTTTAAAACTTTAAAGTATTTAAATGCTGCACTTTAACTAATTAAAAGTTTAAGTTATAATTATTAGCCTAGTTATTATTATCATTAAAGCATTTATTAAAGCAGTTATTATAAATATTATTAAGGTTATTATTTAATGCTAAGTAATTATCCTCCTCTTTTAAGTTATAATTATCTCCATAAGAAGTATAATAATTATTATTTTAAATAATTTCTTTTTAATCATCCCTTTATCCTCTTAATGGTTCTTAATTATTGTTTATCAAGGCTTATAATAGCATTAATTATATGCTTAGCTTCCCTTAAGGCTATAGCAATAGCAATAGCTGCCAATACCATTAAAGTTTTGGTAATTCTAATATCCCATATGCATAATGCAACCAATTAAATAGTACGAAGGGGTATTCCCATTAATATGCCCAATAGCCTTATGGGGAAGGAGGCTGCTAAGGAGGAGGTTAATGAAAAGTAACTCGCTGAGAATGAACCAGCTGCAAAGAAGGCTGTGATTGCCTCTAAGGCTATTAAGAAGGAAGCTACCAAGGAGAAGCTTATCAAGAAGGAGGCTGCTAAGAAGGAGGCTATTAAGGAGGAGTCGGCTGAGGAGGAGTATTGGGATCATCAGCATTATTAGCGTTGCTTACCAACTTATTACGATGGGCGTTAGAAATATATGCCTTTAGCTTGCGCTTTAACTTAAATATCAAGTTATACCATTAGCAAACAACATTCTTACGCTGCGCGCCCATGGCTTCCATGGATAACTTCATTATTATAATTTAAGGATCTGTAAACGCCTATAAATAGCGCTTAAAGGTGGTTACTTTTAGAGGGTTTTAAGGAGGATTAAATGGCTAGGGGGCAAAGGCTCTCTTACAGCCAATAGCAAACATCAATCTTGCAACCAATAGCAGGCACCGCCACCATCAGGGCAAATCTCATAATAATTAATTATAAGGTAAAGGGGAAGAGGAGAACATTCTTTTATTATGCTTTTGGACTAATAACCAGCTCTTAAACCATTTACCTATAGGTGGTGGCGCCTAAATGCTATTACTGCCTAGCAAACTAACTTATATTGGTTCTTAAGGGTATTTAATGCTAAAGATCATTATTATTAAGAAGAAAGGAAAAGAAAAAAGGCGATAAGGGAAGGCAATAAAGATATAAGGAAGAGGAAAGAAAAGGGTATAGGGAAGGAAGGTTATGCTTATTAATTAAACATTAATTATTATTAAAAGGTAAATGTTTTAAAGGTTTAATTAAGTTATTTATATAGCTAAATCAGCAATAAATATTAATTATTCCCCCTAACGGTTTCAAGCTAATTAAGCAAACAAAATGATTACATTAATCGCTTGCTTTTGCCAACACTCTTTAAAGTATTTAATTAAAACATACCAATCAAGTATACAAATCAACCAAAAGAAACGTCATTTGCCAATACTCTAAAGTATTTAAGCGCCTTATGCTTCGTTAAGTGCTTAGGGGGGTCTTCAAAGGGTCACAGGCCCTAAGGGTATCGCGCGGGTGCCCTAAGGGGCGTCGATCGCAAACAAGGGCTTCTTAAGGGTGCCAAGCAAGGGCTTCTTAAGGGTGCCAAGCGAGGGCTTCTTATGAGTGCCAAGCAAGGGCTTCTTGTAGGTGCCAAGCGAGGGCTTCTTATGGGTGCCAAGCAAGGGCTTCTTATGGGTGCCAAGCGAGGGCTTCTTATAGGTGCCAAGCGAGGGCTTCTTATAGCAGTCACAAGCAAGGGCGTCGGCAATTAAGGGTGCCTCGTGGAGGGCTTTTAAGGGTATCGCGAGAAGGGCTTCTTAGGCTTCTTAAGGCTATGCACCGATGGCAAACGGTCTTCTTTTACCGCGCGCCCGTAAATGCCTACAAACGGCTTAGGAAGAGGGTTCTTAATAATATACGGTCGCGTTTACTTAAGAAGGTCGCGAGGAATTAAGGGTATTGCAAGGAAAGCTTTTTCAATATATTGTTTTCAAACATACCCATCAAAGGGGTTAAAGGTTATTCTTTTGCACCTATAAATGCCTACAAACGGCTTTCCCATAAGGGTTTTGCACCTATAAATGCCCACAAACGGCTTTCTCAAGATCATAAGTTACGCCACCCGTAAATGCCTACAAACAACTTCCAAAGAACCTAACTATCTATAATCGCCATAAGCAATCACTAATCAGTATTGATTTAGCTTCCGTACAATTAGTAATAAACAAATAAAGTGTGTAATCAATTCGGCTATGATATAAAGGGTAGGTTGCAGCGAAGCTGCAGCCTTCCCCCGTCTAGCTATAGGCTAGCTATGGTAGTCCGTGCACGGGGCACGTAACCGCCAGCTGGCAGCCGGCTGGCACCGGCTGGCAGCTGCTATCAATAAGACTAGTCTAAACCTTGCACCTCCAAATCTGTGCATTGCCTGCAGCGCACCCACTGCGTGGGCACGCTGCACGTAATGCCCATACGTACTATTCCCACATTTTCTTTATTTCTTTATTATCCTTCTCTTTTAAAATATAATCTAGCTGCTCTATAAATACCCGCATAAGTCTTTAACAAAATTAGCTACTCGAAGTATAAACAGTAGCCTTAACGTAAAAGAAATACTAGCTATTTAAACTAACTAAATCTTTAAAGAAAGAATGCAATCTACAACCATCATTAGATTCATCTCTCTACTTATGTTAAGTAATACAATTACTTCTCATTGTAGGTTGAAACAATCTTAAAGTCAGAATGTTACTAACAATCCTCAGCAGTGATATTAGGGGAGAGTAAAGAATGCTACCTTCCTTGTGATAACCAGGGAGTGTGGAAGGGCCCTCGTGATGCCCATAGTCCCCACAATTAGTAGAAAGGGAGACCGCCAGGAATTGTACCGTTGATTCCGGTTTCCTGACCTCAGGTTCCCCACATCCGCTTGGACGTGAACACAGACAGAGAGCAGGAAACACGAAACAGGAAAGGGAAAGCAGGAAAGGGAAAGCAGGAAAGGGAAAGCAGGAAACAGAAACAACGGGAATTCGTACTAGGAGATACCTAGTCATTGTACCGGACGTGCCAATAACAGATACTTTACCTTGCTCGTATCCTCTAAGCTCGATTTGAGGTTCTCGTTTCTCAAAACGGGGTTTTGAGATTGCTTTCCTTTCGAAATATAAGTTAATGAGGGCAATGACCAACATGCACTGTTGGGTTTGAGCTCTGGCCATACTCCCTTGACAATGATGAACCAATGCCCTGACGAAATAATCGACCAGATTGCAGACGAGCTGACACCGCCAGAGAGATGGCGTCTAAAGCAGGCTGGTCTGACTCTCAGCGACTCCCACCTGAAACATTCTCGAGCCTGGGGAACTATATTCAAAGACTCCACGTGGCTGCAAGCTGCCGCTAAAGTGGGTGCTAACCCCGTTCTAGTCGGTTGCAACATCTATAACCTCTATAACAATCAACTTGCTACTCCAACATACCTTGTTTTGCTTTCCATGGACTGGACTGGAACACTTTCATCACATCTTCCAGTCAATCGTCGAGGGGTGCTCCCATACATGCAGGCTCACGATTACGACCCGGATCGTTACGAAGTGCGCATCCACGGCACCGATATTACTGTGAATATCCAGGAGTTCGTTACGGGATACGAATCAACTCAAACCGATGTTCTCGACCGCTTTCTCGATCTTGAAAAAAACACAACGACGGTACTTTACTACAACCAAAATACACGGCCGGTACAGCACACTTTGAAATATAGCAACGATAGTAAATCATTTCCTTTGGACTCTCCGGAAAAGCTATATCTCCTCGGATTTTCATCCTGCTTTCATCCCAAATACCATTACGCTCTGAACTGGTTATTCAGCGAGTCTCAAGCAACTAAACTTGATTCACACTCTCAAGCAAGCAACGCATCGAGCCCATACTCTTCCTCGGGAGAACTCTTTCCATTGCACGGAATGGACCACGAGGACTGGGCCCGACTGTCCCTGGAGTAGAATGATACAAAGAGAGTGATTCCTGCATTTGCACCCATGCCATTCATGATAGTGGGGTACAAGATATCGTTCTGATAGGAGATCAACGTTGGTACGCTTCTTTCCGGCACGAACCTTACTCTAACAACCATAGATAGAGAATGCGGCTACGAGCGAAAGTGATGGGCGAAGGGTTTGGAAGGCGAAAGGTATTCACGGGGTAGCCTGGAGAGTTGGGTCCACTGTACAACTGTTCTCAACCTCAATCTATGACAATGGGACTATCGAAGCTGGAACCAGCTGTGGGCCAGTTCATCATGTCGTTAACCCAGGGAACTAGCCGACGTTCCTCGAAGTCCCGCGCCCATGTATCACAGTCCCACTGAACCCAATAGTCTACGAGGTCCCGCCACACAGCCTGGGGACGTGTCAAGTTCACGTACACCACCTTCCCTCCATTTCTGCGAACTTGCCTCGCGAACACTTTGGCCAACATCTTCGGTCCATCAACCCTAAGGCTAGTCCCCAGAATCAGGAGAAAGTCTGGACTTTCGGTTTGATCTCGGCGAATGATTCGCGCGATGGCTTCACCGGATGGATGTTGTTGGCCGATTCGGACGATATCCGGCAGAAGAATACCGACTGATACCCTACGTCTGCCTGCCGCCTCTCTGGCCCTAGTATAATCTGTGCATTGAGGGCAAGGTATGTCATGCACTTCCGAGAAGTCGGCCTCATGATCCTCCATCGGGAAGGTTCGGGAGCAATGGGTACACCGCAGGAGGCGAAGTGAGCCATGGAGCTGGACGCAGCTGAGATGATCCTCTTCATCCAGGTCCGTCGAGAGGCCCGCTTTGGTCTCAAGCATATCTATGTTCTGGGTATAACATCGTAGGAGTTGGCCTGCGTTGTCGAGCCCTTTGACAACCTCGTGGGCTCTCGTAGGCTCACTGGATCTCGCTAGTCGGTACAATTCCGTTGCAGACGTTTGAAGCCGGTGTCTTGACATCTCGTCACACAAGGCAGTCTCGCTGAATAAATCACCTTTGGCATATAAACCCTCTGGTGAACGAAAATCCTGTGCATTATTAGCAGAGGCCGTTGAGTGCTGTAGAAGAGATGTACCGGAATCCCTGCAGCGGTGCTGATTCCAGCGCCTGTTATCACGACAACCTTTTGAGCTCGGCTCATTGCACAAGCGATCTCGTTCAGCTCTCGATTGGAAGCGGGACCAACGGGAATCATCGTCGATGCGGGATAGGTAGTGTCCTTGGTAGTGTCCTTGGTAGTGTCCTTGGTAGTGTCCTTGGCAGTGTTTTGGCTGTGATGGCCGGACGTCCCTGGTGTTGGAAAGGGAGGAAGGCACGTTGGACCGTCCGAGGGGGTCGCTCATGCCTTATATACGCGAAATTCGAATCCCACGACCTCGCCTCACGGTTGCCTAGAGCGAGCATCTCAGTCCTTTGGGTTTGGTTCAGCATGGTATCCTTGAGGGCGTCCTCGGTTTGGCCTTAGAGCGCATCGCTTCTTGCCCATCGTTGGCCATCAACCTCGTGTGGCGCATAACACGAGGCACACCACGTCCATGGATTTGCCTTGGCCAAAATATGAACGTGGGCGGTTCCATGTATGGTTGTGGTGGTCCCAGGATCATGATGAGGCCTCTTCATGCCCGTTCACCCCAAAGCACTCGGGCAGGCGGGCAGGCCAGCAGGCTGTGTGATATGTGAGAGTGCCACATACAGAATGGTCGGGGACGTCACCAATCGCATCGCTCCATTCGTTGGTGAGTCTGAAGGACACAGTCTGGACCAGTCGTTCGTGCAGGGAGATCACCTCACATGATTAAGCTGAAGAAGGTGTCATTAAACAGACCAATCGTGCGGCGCGGGAGGCGGTGCACACTTGGCTTAAGCTGGTGGTAGAGTGCTCATCGCATTCCTATAAAAGATGGCCCTTCTCCCACCATTGGCTCGGTTCCCCTTCTCCTCCTTTCCCATCCCGAACTCCTCACTTCTCTCACTATCATGACCACCTCAAAAGAACATCCAGAACGTCCTGCCATGCCTACCAAGTGCACTTTCTTCTATGAGATACGATACATCATGACGGCCGGAATACCGGCTCCCCAGCTCCCGCGAAGGAGAGACGGTTGTCAGGCTGCCTGGGGTAAGAAATGCAATAAGCCGATACCTCCTGCCGACGGCTCAGGCATTGCCGGCTTGAGCCTCCTGAAGCTTCACTCTCGAAGAGGGTGCCCTTGTGTGCGGGTGGACTACGGTGGCGCGAATCACCGTTGGTGCACCGGGGGCCTGCACCACCACGGCGCACGATTGATGCGCAAGAGGGTTTCAGGGACTTCAGAGTCGGCAACAACATCGTTGCTCCTTTTGAAAGGGAGGACTCAGACACGCATCACGGACTTCTACAAGGTTGCGAAGACGACGAGACCTTACTGAATTATGGCAGCGCGCTTCGCTTGGGACTCGATGAGCACGAGGCGATGGGCAGCCTCGACGTCAGCGGTCAGCCTAGATCGGAGTGCCATCAAATTCGGACAAGGGGCGTCAAATTATGTAGATAAAATATACTCCAGCTCCAGTGACTTTCTTCAGTCCTCAGCAAGATCATCACCACCACCCTGGCGAATAGCCTGGCCGAGAGGCTGATGATGTATTCGCATATGTGTATGGCCAAGCGCTGAGATGATGTGCTCCTCCGCAAGCTGCGGAAACTGGTCCTGAACTGACCCGAGCGCTTCTTCATCTGGGCATACACCCTCATCAGGGTTGCCCAGGAAACATATATAAGACCAGGCTGCTCGCTCTAATTGTATATTGTAGTCGTTCTGGTTCCACCCTGGTGGTGCTGGACACTGTACGCCGAGGAATCCATCCTCCCCCGCCTGCGGTGCCGGCTTGTTCGCTGGTTTGTTGAAGGCATCAAACATGTCCTGGACCTGGGATGGGAGCTCCCTCCTCACCTTTTTAGTCGTCCGACCTAAAGCCTTCACATCCCGGGCACAGGCATCGAGTTTTGACTTCATCCCGTCGAGCACAGAACGTCCCTGGTCGTCACGTCTCTCAGCCTCCTTCCTGATCAACTCCATATTTTCCCTTAGCTCACTCTTCAGCCCGCTAACGGAGGTCCGCAGGTGTTCCAGTTCCGTGCCAAAAGCATCAAAACTCGACCTGAGCTTCGACTCCACCTTGTCGAGTCTGACATTCAATTCTCCACAAGTGGAACTGGTCATCTGGATTTGCAATACACTCTCTTTCAGGAGATCAGTCGTTGCCGAGATCATATCTTTAAGAGCTCCAAGCCCTGTTTGCATCTCTTCTTTGAGCTGGTGTGTGTCGGCCGTCTCTTCCAGATCGAACTTCACCTTCTTGGAGTTCCTCCCATCGGGGCTCAGCCCCCGCTTCCTCGGGACATAGACGCTCCCAGAGAATGCATTTTGTTTGCGCATGACAGATGCGCTCTGTGAGTTCATCGTTGTGGAGCTTGGAGGTGCGGGTGTACTGGTCGGCTTCCGCCCAGGGGACGGGGTGGCGCTTATCCTTATAACCGCGGCAGGTATACTTTGCGCCGCCGGTGTGGGTGATGCGTTTTGGGGTGGCTTGGTCAGAGCGGCGCTGCGGAAAAGGTTGGAGAGACTCTGGTGCTTGTCCAACACATTGCTAGCTGTCTCAGTGAGGCAGTTGGACGGAAGCGCCCGCGTACAAGTGGGTACGGGCTCGATGCTCTCGAGCTTGGGCTCAGCAGGGGCAAGGCGCTGCTGATTCTCAGCCGTGGTGTTCATTCCATTCGCGGAACCGTCTTCGCTGTCATCAACGTCTGATTTGTCGCCTAAATGCTCCCCTGACTGGCCGTCGGACTGGTCGCCGGACCTTCCCTCGCCGAATGACTTGTCTGACTTGCCCGAATCGTCGTCAGGGTTCTGCTCCTCCAGGCTTAGGCGATGGGCCCACGGCTGCAGATGTGGCTTGAGATCACGTCGGCATTGCACGAAATGCTTCCCAAAGAGCTGGTTGTAATCGGCGAGATGCGCCAGCTCCGCCTCTCGAGGCTCTGCTGAATCGAAGACCGTGTAGAGGTTGGCGAACTTGAACCCTTCCCAGAAACCATGTCGCACCGCCAACTTTTCTCGTGCCTGTGTCATCATCCACTCGATCTGCAGCTTGCCTATCCAGCGCTTGAACTTGTCGTGCTCAGGATATGCGATCACCAGGACTGCCATCATACCTACAGTTGACATTCGTAAGCGCTTCCCGCCTTCATCAAGGGGGAACCTACCCGCTGGTGACAGCACCTGGGTGATTTTAGCCTGCTCCCGCCTTTTTCTGGTCGTCTTGGTCTGTTTCCTTCGTCTGGCGTTGAAGGCGTCCATCCAATTCTCGTGCTTTCCCATCCACTTCTCCAGCTCAGTGAATGCGGCTTCTGCCTGCCTCGTCACCCTGTGCCGAGACTTCGTGCTTTCGCAGTGACAGAGCAGTTGGTCCATTACCTCGTCGCCGCGTATGTGGGCAAAGTCGCCAGCCAGGCCCTGTGGTATAAAGTCAAGCATGAAGGCATACAGCTTGCACAGCATCTTGCTCTGCACCGGGTCATGTTTATCCTTGTCTATGGCCCATGCTAGGCAGAGGAACCAGTCTCTATGCCGGTTGTTTTCGATATACCGGGCGTGAACACCCTTCGTTGTGAGGGTAAGAGGCCCCTGGCGAGGGAGCCAGTCAGTCGCGTTCGCGTGGGCGGCCATCTCGTAGTCTGCCCGCCGTGCTGGTCTGAAGAGCGAGCCGCAGTTTTCGAATCCCGATGTGGGTTCTGGCTGATCCGGTCAGCTCAGGGGAGAGGGGGCCGATCCGCCTGGGAGAAGTAAGGAGCTGGGGTGAACAAGGCCCCTTTCCTTGACCCGGCTCTAGGTTGCAAACCTACATGCCTCTCCCAACAGGGACATGGGCGGCTTGAGCCTGCTCGAGGGATCAACGAGTAATCGGCGTGGCAACACACGGGCTGCAGCCCATAGATAGTAACGTCCGGGCGTGCCTCAGCCTAACCTTGTCGTGAGGGGCGCAGGAGCTTCGTGGCCCTGCTGCATTGCGTACGCAACTGCCGCACCTTGACTGTTCTCCAAACAGCTGCGCGATAAGATTCGCGCTGTTACGCGCCCGGGGTCTGGAGCGACATCGAAGTCTTGGCAGAGGATGGAGAGTGGCCGCAAGAGTTCGTGGCGCTTGAAAAAGTTCGTGGCGTCTGGAAAAGTTCGTGGCGCGGGTCTGGCAAGCATTCGTGGCGGATCGCAGCGGTGCAAAGACAAGAATTCGCCAGGCGCGATTTCCTGCCATCCGCGCCTCTGTACAGCTAGAGGAAGAGTTCGCGGTCGCGAAGTCCTGGGCAAACCCAGCACAAGACACGGCCAAGGACTTCGGTCATGGCCGCTTGAAGCCTCAGGGCTACAACGTTCCGTCGCACCATGGGATGCTTGAGCCCTCCTCCCTCGAACCTTCGCTGCGTGTGGGCGTGTGGGCGTGTGGGTGATTTGTGCAGTGGGCCGCAACGACATGGCAGTGCATATAGTGCTTAAGCGCCCCAATGTGCCTCCCGTCTCATCTTGGCCTGTCCCGTGTGCGGCATCTTGATACTTGCCACTCTCTGTCGTGCTTTCCATTTGGGCAAATCGATCGAAATCCGTGTTGACATGTCGGACCAACCTCGGACAACAGCTGGGGGCGCGGCCGCTCAGGAGCAGGCCGAGGCCCACGAACCTCATGGTGGTGATGCCCGCGCCTCTGGTGCTCCCTTCGACACGCGCCGTTTGGTGCCGGCGGACGAAGCCCCCGAGCCCTCGCACCGGCATCCTCCACTGGTAGACGCCCGGCCAGCGAGCACTGCACGCAAGGCCCACGCCGACCCCGGAGGGGCGACAGAAAGGAGGAAGGAGACTGAACGCTTTCGCAAGCGACGCCTCGGGCTGCTGAGGAAGGCCGAGCAGCTCCGTGCCGATTTTGGCGTCCAGGCGTACGTCGTGATCCACAGGGGCGACCGGTACTTCACATACACGTCCCTGCCAGACCAGCCCGACTGGCCTCCCCCGCCCACGGTGCTTGTGAGTGGCCAGGCCGACGAGAACACCAAGACGACGTCCTACTGA